TGTCACAGCTGTTTTGAAACTTAGGTCTGCAAGAAGTCCGGCAATCTTCAGTTTGAAAGCTATCTTCAAACTAGCTGGCCCTTCGCCGCTCGGCAAGTGACTACGTCGTGACGTGAAGCGTAAAAATGCTACGCATCCACCATACAAGCTGTATGACATGGTGTGGTTCATCATAGTTCCATCCGTGTGTTATAAAATATTAACGGAATGTTAATTTTTTTCGAGTACTGCAGTGAATTCGAAGAAGTGTTTTTGGCGTACGTTATAGTTATGCTTAGCTACCCTCATGGCTACCCTCATTTTGACTACCTATCAGTAACCCTAACTGACAAGATGCGACTCAGCCAATTTACTGATCTGGGAGTATCACTATCAAAATTTGCTTTGGCCCGCTCCCGCTAAGCTTTTCTAACATTCGTGGTGTAATTCTCTAGCTTAGTCTCGCTTATCGAAACCCCCGCTTAATATCGGCCTTAAGTAACATTGTTCCATGCCTCGCTGGTTAATCAGACAGTATCTTGCTTCATGGAACGCCTAATCTTTATTATAGGAAACCTCCAAAGGAACTAAGGTGATATTATTCGAGCACAAGTTTTCGTGCTGCTACGAATCTTTAAGAAGGGCGACGCCGACATGGGCAAGGGAATTCGAGGAATATTTTTCTTCATTGAGTTAGCAATGTTCTACAAAAATTAAAAATCAACTAAGATATTTCTCCAGAACCCCTTACCCCTGTACTTATATATGGTCATAGAATAGCTTTAGGAATAGCCAAGTATAAGCCTACATGAGCATACTTAAGAAACAATTAATTCTATTGATCTCTTATTACTACCAGTATTATTATTATATAGTTGTTCTTTGGAGGTCACGGATCATAATTGGCTAGTTTAGTTGCTCGTACAGTAAGATCCACTTTATTGAAGTCACTTTCGTGTCTCCTGCCAAATTATTATAAACGCCAATAATAAAAAGCCCATTGATTTACTATGTATATATATATTATTCAAAGTTGTGCAAAATCGGGATGTCAGAATCCTATCTTCTCTTAGATGTCTGTTCCAAAATAGCCCTATGAGGCCTCCATATGGGCAACCAGTAGAGTCACGTAAGTGAATCTGATTAGGACGAAATGGCATAGAAGGTACTTGTAAATGACTCAGGTGATCAATTATAAGTCGGTGAATTATAAGTATAGTGTAAACTGTAAACCGCAATGGGAATTTATAATTGCGTTTACCCTATCGACATTCGTTTTTGCCAAAGTAAGGTAAGAGTTTGGAAGGTAACAGAAACCGTGCACCAGCATATGGCTTTTCTAACCTGGACAGTGCAGCCCGAGTAGCCAACAAAGTGATACGTAGGTATGTGCGCTAAGTCATTTCAACATATCTTAATCACTAACTAATACGTTCACCTTCAATATATCTACCACCACTGCAGTTACTTTTAAGTTGATGACCGCTTGCCCGAAGTCTTAATAAAGAATAAATTTTTCGACTCATTATTTGTTATGAAGACCGTCGCTTAACAGAATCGTTATAATATGGGAAAGTCGTTCCACAATGCATGCAATCATTGCATGCGGCAACCAGAACACATGCCAAAAATATTTTTCTATCTAAGTAATTTTGATGGTGTGGTTTAGCAACTGATGTTCAATTTTCTCCTCCTATTTATGAAGTTTTTGAAGGTGCTTTTCAGTAGAGGCTTTGAAGGCTGCCTAATAATAAGTCGAGAAGTGAATGTTTGCCAATCGATTGACTGAGACTACGTATCTCAGTACAGAACCCAAGGAGGTAACCGTAGCTTCTGGCACAAAGTATAAATATATATATCTATCATTTTTTATGAAGTAATCATACGATCTACTCTGTAAATGAAAACCTAGAAATCGAATCTAATAGCTCTTTGACCGATTCTACTCTTAATTTAGTCATTCATTTACATAGAAACAAAGCCTTTTCAAGAAGCGTAGACAAAGTTCACAATCCGATCTCTCCAAATTGTAATAGGTCGTGCTGCTATTAGATTCTGTTCTTTTATAAAGCGTGTAGTCTTTTAATGTAGGGAATATGCGATTGATTTCATGACCAAATTGTAGAAAGAAAACAGTATAAGAATGTTAAATAAAGCATTGTAAACCTTACATTATTGTCTTGAAAACGATGAAATATACATCTAAGGCTAGCCTTAAATAAACATATATTTCGACCTAAGTCAACACAATAGCGTTGAATCAAACCTGGGCCAACGCACTGTTCGATGCAGCCAGTATCTGGCAGCGACCAGACGAAGAGACCGAGGAGAAAGCCTAACCGTTGGGTCACTGTTTCTATAATTAGTGGCTTGCATCGGAAAACATCTCGATGGAAAACGATCAACAAAACTGGTAAATAAGTTGACACGATGTTTCAGTTCTTTGCTTAAAATTGACAATGATTGTAGCAAGTAACTTCAATTCACGATTAGATCGAACGGTTGCTGATTGACGCCTTAGCGGGCTCTAAGTACTAGATCATAACCGAGAGAAAGGAATCAACGTGCACTGATGCGATGTGGTCCTCCACTTCCGACGGGCTCGTCACCAACCTGCTTGCTTCTCAAGTCGCGTACCTCGGACCAAAGAACTCTTTACTGGTTAAGGCCTCGTTTAGAAGTCACCTGCCCGTTGCTACGCGCGTTTCCCTGCCAAGGTTTTACATAGCAGTTCAAAAAAAAAGCGGACAGCTTTAGTAAAATCGTTGAATGCAGACGTCGGAGCACCATAATGAACTCCTTCCCATTTCAGGCGGACTTAACGTCAACGAGTACAGTGCCGCCCCTCGGTATATTCTAAAATACGCAGTTGGCGGGTTCAAACCTCGTCGTGACAGCCCGTGACTTAACAATATATCTCTAGTGCTTTCAAAGCCCAGACGGTTCCTCGCCAGTCGAGATAGGTCCTCTCTTTATCATTTTACAGAGACGGTGTAGACAGATTTATCAGACTAAACGAAGGAGGCGCTCTTTTTCCCGAGACAAAACAATACTCTCAGAGATAGTTACACGGTGGTGGTCTAGAATTACTTTTTGCTTCATAAAATCAAACACGCTTGTCGCTCAAATGTATGCTTTCAGGACCACCATGCCGAAAGGGCCTCTGTGGTATAGCGCGGCATAAGGCAACAGCCGTCAACATTACGACTGATGAGGTGGCAGCAAAGGTTCTATACCAACAAGGCAGCATTTCGAGGTCAGATCAGGCCTGAAGGCCCTAACGAGACATTAGTATCATCCCGACGTCAGACTGCTCTTTACACCATTTGTCTACACGACGGCCTAACGCAAAACGACTGACAGAAGACATTCTTTATCGTCACCTAAAAAGCAAAGGCGATCTTCGACAGCCGAATTTCTCAAGTGCATCACTCAAAGGAGCTGCTGCTACGAAGTTTTTTCAGCCATACTTTTTATGCATCTCTCCGTTTTTCTAGAAGCTTGAAGCACGATCGTGGATGAACAACACGGCTTCTGTAGGGAAAAGCGAACAATGATTGCTTGCCAAATCCTACTCGTCAAGTTAAGACCTGTCTTCGGCACTAGGAATACCAAACAGTCTATCTATTGTTCTTCCCCGATTTCAAGGCGACGTAAAAAAATTCGCCAAAACAAGAGTTCCATATAGGTTCACCCAGCCCATCCCTTCAATTCTGTAAGAGAGTCCCATAACGATACGATAGCGTGGGGAAACTGATATTTTTCCAACAAGTAACAGAGAGTGCTTTAGGGCTTAACCCATTACTTTCTTCAGTCTTCTTCAGCTAAACAGCATAATGGGAAAGCGCTAATCCATGAGAGCAAACTCTCTACTGTAGGGCGATGTACTCGCGGTCTACGAGGCAAGTACTTTTCAAGCTCAGCAGACATGTCCCGTCATAAGACGGGAGTGCTTAATGGATACTGGCCCAGGGACCAACATGAAATACCGAAAAGCAGGAGCAGTAGTAGCAAATGGCACTCTCTGGTTGCACTACTCGCCTTCATCAGGCGCTTCTGTTACTCAAGGTTGACTTTATTCTGTTATGAACTTGCTACCCCAAGCATATGAGATGGCCTTAGCATAGCCTAATTGTACAAACTGAACCAGAAGAAGTCTCCTTTGCCTAAGAAAGCGCTGGCCCTGCATACATCCTTCCCCAACGTTACGTGTATTTGCTAATGGGTGTGGCGCAATTTTTTGTGAATCTACAATGTCAGCTTAAGGTATCAAAAACATTCGCTGGAGTTCCTTCGATAACAGTGGGATCGGATGTCTGAAATCGTTTTTTGCCACATAGAAAAATTCCACGGAAAGAAGATCCGGCAGATCATAATCCACTGCATGGTTTCTACCATGTGGTGTGTGTGTGTGTGTGTGTGTGTGCTACTGGCTCGTACCGCAAGCCAAATGGAAAATGTATGTGCGTCCGATACGGAGTCCCCTATGGGCCATACCATCAAGAACATTTTTTCCTGAACAACGTGGCGCAAGAAGAACAGCGCAATCTTAGCGTTCTGTATGTATTCTACATTAGAAATGCTTTTATATTGCCTATATACAAGGTACCCAGCGAACATGAATGAATGTAAATTTCGGCCTTACAGTTCTGCCACTACGATACGAAAAGTTCGTATCAACATTTTGCCCACTGATGACCTGCTGAAATGTTGAAAAAAAAAATCGGAAAGATGATCATATTCGGTACTGCCTGGAAATTAGTTAAAACATATCTAAATCCTTCTTGTCATATGGTATGCAATAGTAGGGTGGGCTTTCTAGGAGAAGCCGGGTATCTTGAATAAAATACATTTAAGATGGTTCTACTAAAGAACGCCATCGATGTTACCTTGGGTAGTAAAAACGTCAACTGATTTATATTTTTACCCTGAGCCACCCTTCTATAGTTCATCTAACAACAAACCTTCCTTGCTACTGCCTTCGCTACACCGCTGCAGCGCCATCTGCCGGTTGCTGGCTCAAGCAAATTACAACGGGAAGATTTAAGCCCCGCAGGATTGTGACTATCTGTGCATTCGAATTGTTATTCAGTGGCCGCCCCGGGCACTCTTAAGCGATTTGGAGCGCCCGGACGAAAACATGGATCAACATAGTGTGCCGCCTAGCCGATCAGCAGGTGAGCCCATCAGAATACGGCCCCAGGCCCCGCTAGTGGCGTTTAGTGAACATGTTCAATGAGAAGCCACTCAAACAGAGCAGTCGTTTCTTGGGGGGGTATTACCACGTTTGGCTTGGGGTATTATGGGGAAATTGAGCCCAATGAAGTGCAGAGGATGGACATGATCATCTGTGTGCCAATAGAGAATAGCCACCGACCAGTGCTCTGGTGGAGCTACCTCCCCAACGAACCACCCCCGGATGCGTGAGGTGGTTGTTAGTCGGCCATTCTCGTTCCCATATTGGGAGGTTGCTATACGCTCTAATCATGGTTTTGTTAGCAGTGTTGCACGACCGCTAATGGGCATCCGCTTAGCGTTGTTACCGATGTTCACCCGCTGTAGCACAGACTTCGAGGCATGATTGGCCCTGAGTGACCGGTGGTGATCTCCTTTCCACACATGTCATTTTACTGTTCAGCTGTTCGAACGAATTTGATTCAGCTGACGGCGAACGGATGCCCATTGGCCTGAAGCGTGAAAGGCTGCCAACTTCCTAGTTAGAATATGACAACGGTAAGAATAAAAAAGAAAAAGCTCGATAATTTCTTTGGCACACGTATGAGTTTATTGGATGTGTCAATTAGTTTTTAAAATGCTTCGTGATTTTATTGCTGGTTTGCCCCTCAAGAGTGCATTTCTTTTCTATGTAGGTTTATTGACAATTTTTACAGAACGGTTACCTTCAATGGGTACGTTATACAACGTACTTGTTTCTATTTGCGTACTTATGAAAAGCTTATTAGTAGCGGTTTGTTCACCGAATGGTAAAAAGTGTAATGGAAACGAGCCGCAGTGGTCGATTATGATCGTAAGGTAGTATTGTGCTTCGCTGTACAAATCAGTTTAACGACAATGTGAAGACAAATTGTTTATATATATATATATATATATATAGACGGCACGGTCATTGGAAACAAATATGTTACATTGAATAAGTTGTTACTACAGTGATGTATTTTCTTCATTATCAATGTCATTCCTGTAGATTTTTTATTTAGTTGCGTTCCTTATACTAAGTTATTTGACATACGGTGTTAAATATTAAATATCCTATATATCTTTATATTTACTACAAATATCATTATTGTTGAAAAATAGACCAGAAGGAGTCCTCACATATGTGCATCTATGAGGTAGCTATCCATCTGTTATTAATGCTTGCTTGAACCCTTTTAATATACACCCTCTTATAGCAACTGTAATATGCTTTTCTTTTCATATTGAAATAGAATGAGACGAAACCTGCACTAAGAGTTCAACAGCAGTGCTCACCTGACTGTATATTCGGCCCTGCGTGGCAACCTAGTGCAACGGCGACGTTAATTGTTAGACATCAGTAGTAGTACCTGGCCTTTGCGGCGGTCAGGATTCGCATGTCTTCGGTCCAACCGCTCCTTTTGACATCTGGGGCACTGGGGGGTGATGACAGTGAAGAGTTCGGGGTGATACCTGAGGCCGAAGGAGCGGTCCCGCCGCCAACCTTACCGCCTCCCAATGCAGTACGAAGAGAGCGACCGGGGGCTAATGCAAATGCCTCCAGTCAGCGCCAAATCAAACCTCGGAACATTCGAACAGCGCTTAAGAAGCTCTGGTTGGATGAGATGCTACTTACGAAACAGGTGTGTAAAATCATCATATGCTATACGTTTTGCGAGAAATACTCGCTTATTGAAAAATGATAAACTTAGCGGGTTTTAAATTGAGTATATTTTAAGGTTTGCATTAGCACAAGTGCATCGTTCCTAATGTGTTATGATGCGTTGCAGATACTGTGTCCCGTTCCAGGATGCACGATGATATTCCAGACGCTCCAGGCAATCCAGACACACTACCAGTTTTGTACAGGTCTTAATGAGTCGGGCATCGTACGCTGCGAATACTGCGGTGAGCAGTTTCTCTCGCAGAGTCTTGCCCTCGAAATACATACGGCCGAGGAACACCGACAAGACCGATTGATGTCCATGAGCAAATCCGACGACCAGATTGCTGTATCGATCAAAAGCGAAGCTAATAACTCCCAGCAGTTAACGCAGCATCCATCGTCTTATAATCCGTCATCCGCCAAAATGAAAAAGTAAGCATCTGCCAGAAGCAGACATGAGTAACTAGATTATTTAAACAAACTCGTCTAAATAAATGTTTCCAGTACCGAAATTAGGCACCAGATTAGGCGGTTGGTTCCTAGAACAAAACGAAGCATATCCACGTTTAGATTTCAATCCAAATCGACATCATATGTTTCTAAGTTTAGTAAGTAAACCAGTTGCCGCTACACGATTACAAGAACGAGCCGACTAATCTGTTCTCTCCAGTCTGAGCTATATAATAGTTGTCCTTCTTTTTTAATTGCTCATTTGTCTTTTTTTTAATTACTCAATTAACTCATTGACTTGATCTTCAGGTACCGCGAACCTTCGGAGTTGATCTCAATACCAGCAACACCTCCGCCTGACGTGATGATTGAGTCACGTCGGCGGAGTGTCGCCTTCTCCCGAAATCAGGAAGAACTCATCGACTGTGAAGAGCTCGAAGGCGTAGTACGATTTCCCCTAAGGAATCTGCCTAAAGGCGAGCCAGAAGATCCGCTACAGCTGCCCGCGGTCATGATGAATCTTGACATCAATCTCAAACCTCGACCACTCTCATTCGATGATCTTGACGAAAATTCGCTTATGGATGATGCTCTACTGCTAGCCGGGCCTCTGAAGTTGAAGAGCGAGCCGTTGGACAAAGCCGAAGATGATCCGCACTACCTTTCCGACGTAATCAACAAAATGCCTGAACCCGACCTCAAAACTGTGCCCCCCGTACGAAAGCGTCCACGAGCACAACAGGTAGGGGTTAATCGAACTTCCTATACTACGATTAGTCATGACACGTACACTTATCTGAAATTGGTTTAGAAGTATGCCACCTATTTTAGTGCGTTTGTGAAAGCAGCCTCTCTATCGCTCGAATAAGTTACATAATGTATTTTTCTAAGCCAGTTTCATTGTTCGATCGTTGTCTTAGTAAGAAAATATCTTTTGCATAATCTGACATTAATGCTTTCCTTGATGTGCACTTTGCAGCACACATCGGGACCGGATGTCCGAGTTGTACAGGTCATAATGCGGTCAAATCCGTCGGAACCCAACGCCGCGCAATCTATCCTCAGAGACCCCCAGTTCGTCGATGCGATCGTTCAGCAAACAATGGGTTCTATCGTACAGAGCGGTGAAATGCAGCACGCAGGAGGTGCCCGAAGAAGAAAAAAGCGAAAGGCCAATCAACAACCGCTGGTAGTGGTGGCTTTTAATGAACCTGTTCAGGAGCCAACGTCATCGATTGTAGCACCTGTACCACAGAGCACGACTGTTACGGCAATGCCACCCTCCGTTTTACCCCCACCTTCTAGAACGCAGCACCATCCTCAGCCAAACATCATGAAGAAGAGTGTGCGCCATCGCAAGCAGGTGTTTCCGCCAGCCATCCAGCCGACTGGCCTGGTACAGGTAACATCTTCTCTTGATCCTGGCCATAAGTTCCTTCAAACGCATACTCTTGCACCAGGTGATAAGCCTCAAGTCCGGCAAGAAGTCATTGACAGCTTCTTCAATTCGGCAATTGTAGCTACTACGACTTCAGCCAGCCCAACGACCGTTCCAACAACAGCAATCACTTGCCATCAGTCTACTGCCTCAACGTCGACCTGTACTGTATCACCTCAAGTCGTCACAACAATGACGGTGCCTTCACAGGCTACGTCGACGTCATTTGTTGATGATTCTAGTCAACTTGTACAGCAGCAATCGAGCATCCAACCCGCCATCATTCATCAGCACCAACCTCAGCCGATTCCTCATCAGCATCAACAGATACAACAGGTTCAGCATTCACATGCCGTGGCGACGGTTCACCAAAGTGATGCCAGTGACCAGGAGACGTTCGAGCAATCACAGCAATCGCAGCAACAAACGCATCAGGCCGCACAGCAGCAGTCACACACGCAGCAGCAACAGCAGCAGCAGCAGCAGCAGCAACAACATCCACAGCAGCACCACCAAATAGTGCAACAGCAACCGCAGCATCAAATCGTCCAACAGACCGAGGACTTCCACGGCAGTCAGTTGGCTGTCGCAACGCCTGACGTATTAAGTCAAATTAGCGATCAAGGGTGTTTAATCGTGCCGCAAGAAGCCTTTAGCCAGCTAGAAGGTGCACAGCTGATCGTGCACGAAGGACAGATCATTGTGCAAAACAAGAATGGCGAACGGGTCGAAGGCTGTCAAGTGGTTTATGGCAATGCGGCATTTGCCACCGAGGCAACATTAGCTGTGGCTGCCCAGGAAGATTTCAACGGTGGCCAGCAAACGACGACCTTACAACAGCTGCAGACAGCTGAAGTTGTCGGTACATTGCAGTTGGCTGCGGATCAACAGAGTCAAGTGGTTGTGCAGCAGCAAGATCATCATCATCATCATCATCATTTACATGAACAAGTTCGGTCGCAGACTGAGCAAGCTCAGGAGCAAGTTCAACAGCAGCCACAGCAGCTTGTCGTAGCGGACAACGGTGGGGGTGTAGTTATTACGCAGGTGGACTCTCCTCTCGCGCAGGTCGTTACTCATAGTGTCGCAGGTGCTGGAAGCAATCATTTAAACGGGGCGGGAACTATGGCTTCGTTGGTGATGTCCGGTCAGCTGCAGGTCATTCCGGTTGGATCTGAAGACGGCCAAGATCAACAGCCAGTGAAGTCTAGTCTACAGGCGCAGCATCAACAGGCCGAAGAACAGCCACTGACAAGCGCTTCCCAACAAGATGCGGTTCAGATAAGCATCATTTCAATGAAGGACCCGGATGATAGTGTGGGACAGCATCAGGTCCACGTGCAGGAGCAGGCAATTGATCCAATGCACGCTGCTAATGTTCAGGATGTTCAGTTGCAGGAAGCGCAACAGGTTGTTCGACACGAGAATTGCGTGACAGTACACGCTGGACAGGCGACACAACAGCATACCCAACCGGAATCGATTGAGGAACTGCAAAACGTCGTGGTTCAAGGATCCGAGGTAGTTTGTGAAACCGACGATAAAAGAGATGCTGATACTACAGCAACGCAAGCTGCTGAAGCTTTACTCACCTTGCGACCTCGTAAGTCACAGCTAAGGTTTCTAGCCATAAGGTGTAGGGCTCTCATTTTTACTTTGGTAAAGGTCATATTAACCCTTTTATTTCAAAAGTATTTGCCACGCCCATAATAGCTGTGAGTTTGTACCGTTATGATATTTGAGCACTGACCGTTTCTATTGCTGGTTATGTATGGTTTCAGAAAACCGCTGTAGCCTTCCAGCATCGCCTCTCCAGCTACCTGAAGAGCTGCAACTACTTCATCGGTCCGCGGATGGGGCTGTTTCTGAAGTTGATACGGACGTCGTTGTCAAATCTGGGGTAATAGGCCGAGAAACTAGCTGTGAAGAAGACGAAGTTTTTCAAATGATTCCTGAACCACAAACCCCGCCTGAGACAGAAAGCGAGCAGGATAGCGCCGCGCTAGTGGAAGGGGTTCGACAGGACGAAGCTGTGCGATCTGAACAAACTGGAGGCAGCAACAATGCCCAGAATGGTCATGTTGAACTGTCATCTAGCGTCGTTGAAGTAGCCGTTAGTTCGACATTGACGACGACGAGAACGCCGATAGCGGAAACCGAGTCCGATCTCGTGGTAGGGGCCGCTATTTCTCATTTATTATTTATTTGTCTCTCTCACAGTCTATCATTGGCAGTAATCATCTTCATCCCACATTAACATATGCATAATAATAACAATGGGAAATTTTTGTTTCTTAATTTCAGGTGGTGGAAGCGGAGAAATACTCAAGTGTTCGCGCTTAGTGGTGTTGTAGCCCGCTGCTGTGTCGTTCATAGCAGCACTCAAGAGTTAAGCCGATCTGGTTGATCTGGCTTTCGGACAGCACAAATCCACAACACAAATTTTCCACGAAGATCTTCGATAATTGGTACAACGTCTCATCAAGTGAAGTTTTTGGATCGATGAAAATAGACGCATGCGGCCAAGTCGTGGTCCGCTGGTTTTTTCTGTGTGGCGACACCATACTATTTCTTCGGTGTTTCGTTACCGCCTATCATTCAAGATGACTCTCACAATTATCACTAACCTCACACGTTAAGGGGGGCCTATCGGTAACACTGAACGTAACAACGTACGCAGGGTGGCGGTGTTTTGTAACGGATTTGTGTTCATATTATGTTCAAAGTTGACAAAACACAATTTTTCTGCTTTGTTTTTATTTGTCTTATTTTTTTAATTTATTTTAGCAATAGGTAATGTACTATTAAAAACAAAAAAATGACTGAACCATTGAATAGAACGAATGAAACAAAGGAAAAAATGTGGGTGCAGGTGAAAAGCAGCCTTCTGCTGCCTGTTTCTGTCTAGTGTGTGTGTGTGTCTGTGTTAGTGTGTGTGTGTGTGTGTGTGTGACGAAAACCGCAAGAGCTATACTGAACTTCTCACGAGGAAAGGGGGAGCAAAGGAATGCTCTGCTAAGTGCGAGCTATATCGATGTGCTTGCATGTAGCGACGTGTACGTGCAAAAGCAAGTTCATACTCACCAAACTGGTGGGTAAGGGGACGAAAATTTCCGTTTTCGTAACCGATAACCGTTATAATCTATGTCATTTAGACTATCACTAGTAATAATAGCGAGTGACATCAAATCGATAAAATGGCAGGTGCAAGAGACAGAAATCGAATCCTAGAAGAAAGCGCTGTGTCTACCTTACCGAAGACGGTTACAGTGTTTAGACATGTGGTAAAATATGGCAGCGAAAGTAGAAATCATAAATGATGGACATACGACGAATCTCTCTGCGTACGAACTGCATCAATTTTGCCCTATTTCATTTGTCCATATAATGACTGAGTCAAATGAGTATTTATTTCATGGGGAAGCTCATTATTATTATTATATATTGGTCCCGAAGGTTAGGTAATATAAGGGCAGCGCTGAGATAGGGTGGAGTGACCACGCTATCTGGCATATAAATACACATAATGCATACAAATATATGTCTACAAATGATAAGGGATTACGCGTCAGAACCATTGAACAGGCGTATGGTGGGGTTCTGTTTCTTTTTTCAATATTTCCCGGTGGACGAAAGCGACTACATTTAATTACGGTCACATTAACAACTAAGGTGTTCTTGTCTTTGAATTTATATCGGTGTGCAAAAATTTACTATTACGTGGAAACGAAGCTATATAAGCATGCGTGCACAACGCTGATAAAAAAAAGTTGTCATATACTACAGATGACGAAAAAAATGAGGAGAAAAATGGGGAGGTATACAAAAATGAAATAGTATACACTGTGTACATTGCAGACAGTAACGTTAAAAGAGAGCCGGATTTAGAAAAACAATAACCCAGAAACTAAGCTAATATTAGATCTAATGGTATAAGATACTGTATTTCAATGGCACGTAATCTAACGTCATCATCATCAAATATTCCTCCATATATATATATATATATATATATATATATCTATACATCTGAAAAATGTTTATTATGATGATGGTGACTATTACTAGGGAAACAGAAATGACTTATTGGCGTCGATAGGTATTCAAATAATAAGTAAAACAAGTTACCTAATAATGCGGTAACAGCTGTTTAGACCGTAAATGGTCATGTGCCCCGTTTACTAGAAAAATGTCTTGGTCGAATGGTAGAATGAGAAGTCGAATCGGGCCCACTGCATCGAATGGACCTTTAGGTTAATTAGTCGTTGCGTGACATAGTCTGACAAGTGTAACAAAAACAGCAGGAGAAAGATATGGCCACTAGAATGGGAAATATGGTTCTATCTAAATGAGTGAGAGCCGTGCCATTTTTTCAATCAACAGTTATAGTAACCGTTATGACCAATAACAATAATCGAAATGATACACCTACATTCGGCAGACTCCAAAGGATGCCGAGAGGATGAACAATGGAAAGGGCTGAAAAGGCATCCCGATAAAAAGGAAAACAACTGCGTGAACTTGTGAGGAAACTTATATACCAGGCGCACATAGCTATAAATTCTAAGGCAAATGCGTAGCTAAGCTATTACTTTAAGTTTGATGAAGATATAGACTTTCGGCAAGGTTCGTGGACAGATTCAAGCAGGTAAGTGCGCATATGCAAACTACAACATGGTGCACGACTGAATGAAGTTGTTCATAAGAGCACATTATCGAAAACGACACGGAAACGGCGAATACGATTTGGAATAGCAGTTTATGCTTAGGGAACGACGCGTAATATGGGGCCTGCTTAAAATAGATCGATGATTTAGCTGATTTATCATCATGTTTTTGAGTTGTTTATAGTCAAGCACTACAGAAGACGAGCGGAAAAGGTGACAGTGGCTCAATAATAATAGCGGACAATATCGACAAAAGCAACAATGATAAACTTTAGCGTACTTAATGCACTACCCGGTAATACTAATATTAATATATTATTATCGTAAATGTATTTTATTTAAAAATAAAAAGAGCCTGTATACTGTACCGATGGATTTGCAGTATGTACTCAATCGACATATTATTATTTGAAGCTTAATTAGCTTAAAGCATGCATTAAAATCGTCAAAAAAGAGGCTAGTAACAATTTCATATGGATATTGTTTAAAAAATGAATACAATTAATACTGCAATTTCAAAGGACTTGTTAAATTCCAAAAGTTCATACTGACAAGAATTTCTTTAAGAAAAACGGCAAACATATACTTAATAAAAACGTTTCTTTTCTATTTTCTTTATTATACATTTTTCATACCATTTAATTTTGTAGACGCGTAAATCTCACCATGGACACAATTCCAAAAAGGATATGCCATACGTCTACATTGATTCCTTTCTTCTCTGTCTCGTCGCGTCACCTATTTAAGATAATGTGCCACTTGAAAATTGTTATTTTTGTTGTTGTGCTTAGATCCTCAATCCCTTCCATTATCGCACTTCTTACTTTCGATTAATTACAGTTAATCATCTCCTTTTTAATCATTCCAGCTCCAACCCGGACAAGCAGCCTTCGCAGCAATAAACATTACACGATCAGAAATTCAAATATCCATATCATTCGTATCGGTAATATATCTTTATAACTAATCAGGATTAAATGGAAGAAGCTTGGCCTTGTTTAGCTCATCTGCCCTCTTGTCGTTTCCACCTTATTGTTTTCTATTATGGATATGCTCGCGTTTAAAACCGTGTAATTATATAAATTTAAAAGAATAAAGACAGCTTCTTACCGTCTTCTTTACCAGCTTTATATTCACAGACGAAATTCATACTAAAGGCTAAGTTATTATTGTATATGAGTAGAAAGCTATTCGAGTTATTTCCACGCACTAGTTCGGTGTGTTTTATGTGTGATTGTGTGTACCATGTATAATTGTTCCAAGAGTCGCACGATGACAGATTCTTGCCAAAAAGAGTTTCTATCTATGTAGACGCTCATAAACATCCTCAGACGCATATCGTGTTCCTACTACTGCCAAGCTCTTCCCGGATCGATAAGGGCTAAACTATATTCCGGTGCTTGTCCTTTTTCATAAAAAAAAAACAATACTTCACGATGATGCAACGATACATTCAAACTAATGGCCGGTGACGAATTAATTTCATTTTATCGACGAATAATAGTTCTTCTGTTTTTTTTCCACACAAACGTTACGCCAGCTTAGCTTTAACCTTTTGCAGTTTTTAACCGGCTGTGATTGTGACTGAGCGGGAACAAATACTTTTTGCTGTTATTCGGGTGCTGCCTGTTTTCTTCAAGTGAAGCTGAATAAAGAATTAAATTTGAAAATGGTTTAGGCCAGGCCGCGTTTCTTCATCTCCTGAAAATAGAATGGTTTAAAAATATTAGACATGCTACAATGTTAGAGGTCAAACGTTCGCTGGAAATACTTACCAATAATGTCTTGAGGTACCAATTTAACGGTTTTACATTCTCTTATATTAGAATTATTATACTCTACTATTATATATATTATATTATTATTTAGTATTTCCACTTACAAATTAGTGTTGTATGTTAACGCGGACAACATCAATAATAAGATGTATGTGACACCCCATTTTGGTCTCTGTACAAATACAATCATAGTATGTATGCCTGTTAAACTAAAAGACACCAAATAATCTAGGTCTGAATCTTGGTCCAAAGAATATCGTTCTGGGACCCAGCACTTTGAAGCGATGCCTATGTATTCAGAAAACCCACATAAAACTCGAAACATTCAAATGACTTCACAAGTAGGTTCTTTACCAGTTAACAGAATTCAACGTAAGCTCTACGCTCCTTACCTGGATCATCGTAGAACCCATCTGAGCAGGACTCTTTGTTACGTGCACTCCCGCTTCCTTTAGTGCGTCGATTTTTGCTTGGGCACCACCCTTTCCCCCAGCAATAATGGCACCGGCGTGGCCCATGCGACGTCCAGGAGGTGCTGTTAGGCCAGCAATAAACGAAACTACAGGCTTCGCACTGGGTCCTGTGTTATTGGCCTTAAGGAAGTCGGCTGCGTTCTCCTCATCGCTACCGCCAATCTCACCAATGAGAATGATACCTGCAAGATACACTTGTTTATAGGGTATATTTTGTTCGTTCTTTTAATTCGGACGCTGGATATAGATTCATTGATAATTGAGATCCAATGGATCTCAATTGGAATTGGATTCATTGGTCATCCATAGATAAATTCATTTAAAAAAAAAAGTGCAAATTTTATGACAACCGTGTCTATATCATATACGAATATATAGGAAACGATTCGTAGATGTAAAGCGACGCCTAACTAACCCGAATTTGGTGCTACTATGCTAAGTGACTTGCAGAAAGTACATAAGGATATTCAGCAGCCTTTTGAATTTTTTGCTGTTTCTACCTTTCGTCTCAGGATCGCGCAGAAATATATCGAGACAATCGATGAAGTTTGTGCCATTGAACGGATCTCCACCGATACCAATGCAAAGGGACTGTCCTAATCCGACGTGTGTTGTCTGATGCACTGCCTCGTACGTGAGAGTCCCCGAACGTGATACAATACCAATTTTTCCTTTTTGGTGAATGTGGCCTGGCATAATTCCGATCTTACATTCCTCCGGCTTGATAATAAGGGAAAGAAAAGCTTGCTGTTATATAATTTATATCGACAAACATAATAAAAGAACATTTTGAGGCTAACTAAATTTATTAGAACCGATTCGGTTTATTGTTTTTTTTCGTTGCTGCGACAAATTTTCCACAAAAAGGAACGAATGTATGTAGCCGCATGATAGCTTGAACAGTCATAAACTGCAGCATGATTTTGTCAACCGTAATTACTGCCCCCATAACAACCTGACCAAAGTACCTTGATAATTCCCGGACAGTTAGGTCCAATTAGTCGCGTTTTGTTCTGGTTCAACAGACGATTTTTCACCCGGACCATGTCGTGTTGAGGAATACCTTCCGTGATGCAAACGGCCAATGGAATTTCAGCATCCATCGCCTCCTCAATAGCTCTCGCAGCAACAGGGGGAGGTACAAAAATCACTGTTGCAGTCGCACCTACCTTGTCCATGGCCTAATATAATAGGACAATAATAATGATTATCAGTCTCATGTCTAATAGTGACTTTGTACCATTTGGAATTCGTTTGAAGGAACCGTATATGCATGTAATAAGCTACTGTAAAGTACATTTGTCCGTTCAGTGAGTGATGATAAATAGGCATTGCTGATCCACCAGGTTCATTGACAAAATAAAGTCTTTGATAAGCGGCTGTATTTACGAAGTCCTAAATTATGCATTTTCCTTACCTCCCTAACGGAGTTAAATACAGGTCTGTCAAGATGTGTTTGTCCACCTTTTCCGGGAGAGACACCACCAACGAAATTGGTGCCATATTCAATTGTCTGGCGGGAATGAAAGCTTCCTTGTTTACCGGTGAAACCTTGACATATAACCTTTGTGTGCTTGCCGATCTTCAACGATTCGCGGGTTGTAGTATACTGACGTAGTGCTCCAGCAACGCTAGCCACTACGATTAGATAGGACAGTTACGTATATATTAAATGGAAGTCAAGTGCGAGGTAAACAGCGACAGATGAATAAACGTAAACATTATGCAACTAACGCAGTAATATTTAAAAAAGCATCTGTTTGATATTAATTCAAGTAATTTTAGTGATTTTTACAACAATTCTTGCAGCGACAGTAGTCCCTGAGCTTGTAACTTTAAAAGCGATTTTTTAGGTCCTGAAACGTTTGGGCGGTTTAACTCAACAATTTAGTTGACAATAGTTGTAAAGATTTTCTAACAGTAGCATGACTGGCTAAATAGAGCTCCCGTAAGAGGTTAAAACTAAATCTGTATTTACACTCAAAATAATGGCTTTACAATTAACGGCAGCAATCAGCCTTGCCACGGATATTCACACAACAAGCAACTTGCAGAAGAAAGGTTGAATCAAATGTATGACAAAATTCTTTAATTATTTAAAGTAACAATACATGTGTTAAGTAATACGAACGGAACACACGAAACACTATTTCGAAGCATTGAATTTTCCCCTGCCTTAGAACTCTTAGGCGTGCCAAAATTTGGCATTATATTAATGGCTCCAGAGGAAAGTTTTACGTAATAGTGTTTCTTTATATGCGAACATAAATAATCCAGTCCATTTTATGGATCTCAAACATTACTCGTCTTCATATATAAGGTCCCAGTTGCACCCCTTCAAGGAAAAGAACCCGGTACAAACTATTGAGTTCGAGCGATTATTTGTGCGCCTCTGCTAATAAATGCCCCCTGTTTCCATTTGAAATATGAGCAGACTCCTATTTCCTTATATGAATGTAAAAATTGTCTACTACTAGCGTTACAAGGCACATATCCGCCATTCCGCGCCGTTAAACAGCCAACAAGCAAAAGCAATAAAGTGTGTGATAAAGAGGGCATCTCGCGTCAGCGCTGACGCCTATCGTCAATGAGAGGTATTGGCATCCTTCCGTTACCTTCGTATATTACGTATCCGAGCTATCGTTTTTCATTGTTTTTTCCTTGTTACCGTAACAATCGTCTGATTTTTGCAACGAGAGACTTTATGCGGAACGACACAGTCTACTTCATTCAACTATCAATAATGAATGATTTCCTATTCTATATTGCAATCCTCCGCTCCACAAGCGCACTGAAACAAATACTATATTGAGTATTAAATTGCTGCTAGGAATCCAAGCAGATGACAGGAGATTAAGTATGTTATCTTAAGCTTATCCGATTCCCGTGAATTGGGTTATGATTTATTTTTTGAACGTTGAAAGTCAGCCTTGACTATCCGAATTGTCATGATATACTAAACTGTCGATTCGAATTTTGTGATTAAATTCTCACACGATCACTGTTTATTAAACTATCAGGCCTCATGCTTTCGTTGAGGCCTCATGCAACAACAACAACAACAAACCATCTTCGAGACCTACTCCAGATATGCATGCAGGGGGACACTGACGAAAACTTTCAAAGAGTATATTAAGTATCACGTCGACGAACTCTTCTGTTCAGTAAATAATATAGTGTGAAGGTTAAAGCGAAAGACTGTTGGCTCCGCGCTACTGTTCGCGCGCCATGCATGCACCTTCAGCAAATAAGATCTATAATGAGGTACCGAGTCTACTTTGCACAGCTGATACGAGATGACGAACAGACATTTTTAATTCATCCTTTACAGCTTTTTTGAAATATACCACTTTTGCGATCAATAACGCCGTCGAACAACATGAAAGCAGTGATGTTATTCGTGTAAGACGTCGCCAATATCGTCAATAGAAAACAGACCTTCGAATTTATACTTCTTGAGATACAATCATGTTAGATGCAGAGACGTTGCTGCAACACTTTTGTAATGGTTCGCCGTCCAAAACGACGTTGTAAAGGTCATTTGGACTTAGGCCACTCGTCAAGAAGCGCACCACCTTATTCCAACCGTCCTTGTGCTATTTGAAGGGGGCACCGACACATACACATTGTAATAGAATAGGCAGTCTTGCTAACCGCTGTAAACACTGTGTGAATTCAAGGTAATGTTCGGGTTGCCAACAGTGACTCTTACCTTGGCTAGACCTCTGAACGAGCTTCACGGCAAACATTTTTCTGAAGACACGCTCAAAGTGAATTTGTTTCCTGCAGTACTCTGCAATAGCCGACACACAGACTTCTACGGAAACACTACTGTGTTTCTTCCTCGTCGCGTCGATAAAAACAATCCGAGCGAAAGCAGACGAAAGCTGTCGAAGCCCGGCAAGATTTATATCTAAAAACTGGTACTTGATTGGCGTCGCCGACGCGTAAAGACGTTGAGATGCTCGCAACTTCAAGTACGACTAGACAACAGTAGCTTCTTGTTCATATATGGGCGTGTAGTGCTGCAAGTTTATAGATGAAATTCGAATCGTTCGCTACGTTGGCTAGGTTTTAGATTCTCGCAGTCACAGGTTGCTCCCGTGGCCTAATGGATAAGGCGTTGGCCTCCGGAGCCAAAGACTGTGGGTTCAAGTCCCACCGGGGGCGGTTAATTTTTTCTGCCAAACCGAACAAAAAACTGGAACGGAAACACGATGTAAACTTACCATAAAAGGCCCTGTTATGTTGATTAGATTCAACGAAAAATTTTCAACACTGTTATTATGGCATTCTATTCAATGTAGGCAGACATTTAATTTAAATTTCTGAAAACATAGCTAAGCCAATCATTTGATTAATGCCAAGTCCGCGCTCGTCGTAAATAGGATTTAATCGGATGGGTAATAGAAATTTAGATGCACGTTGTGATCTGATACCTGCAATAGGTATATTCTATAGAAACTGAACGTTATTGTATGGGCTCTGAACCAGCTGTGTCAACTAGATTTTTGTAGTCAAATATCTCACAATTATTCTCTTCCGAAAACTGCAGTAATTAATTAGCGACACATACCGCACAACCTGTATGAGCAAAGGTATTAAGAAAATATATAAATTCAGAATGACTGTATGACTGTACTTTCCGTCTGCGACAATAAAGAAGTAGCATCTCTCACTGTTCTGGAAGCTCAATTGAGATATGATGGACCAAGGACAAGATAAACTATATTTCCTTTTAATTGCTGACTTGAGTCGTCGAACATACATATCCGACTAATTGAACTACCTAACCGTGAACTACATGAACTATTGATACCGTCAATAAATGCCAATGTCTATGGCCTTAAGCTACATCTGGTGTCGTTTTAGATTAAAAAAAAAAATAATAAGAAAAATTATTATAGCTGTTATAGAAATGTTTGATCGAGGCGAACACTGATCGATTATTCTAGGGTCTACTGACTACTCTAGATTTGATATAGTTTATTATGTGAAGATTTATCAGAAGAGAAGCAGAGATATAACATCTAGTATATATAATGTATTGGGTGTGGCAATACTTAGCTTACATCTAAGAGAAGTGTGAGAAAAAAGTTGTATCTTCGATAGGAAAGGAAAAGGCGTTTCAGTTAACATGGATGCTTCTTCGGATGGGTACTGTAACTGTAGACTAAGCGCAGTCACAACGAAAGACATACATAGTGAGTATGCTTTGGTCTTTCTCTGCTCTTAACCTAATCTTGTTCTCCCTATAAGGTATATAATCACTATAATAAACATATTTTCTTAAGCCATTAGTTGATTACTTGTTATGGATAAACGAGGTGCTTGGCGAAGCTGTCAATTTCGATATACCTCTATATAAACCAAGCTCAAAGCTATCAAAAGAAGCTACTTAGGTACATTTACAATGGTTCCTGTATTGCCAGGAAAAATTGGTTTTTACAACTTAATTCACGACGGTAAATTACCTTCTGGTTTATTTTTTTTATTAAGCTATTTTGAGACTAATGAGAATTGTAATCGTATAATATGATTTAATTTAATAATAAGATCATAATAATAATAATAAGACGGCAGGTACCGCCTATCATATACTTGAAGCTACTTCAGTACCTTTTTTTCTCAGCGGCCTATTCGACTTGACTTTCAGCCTTACATGAAGTACCGAAGAGTGACGTCCTTCATCAGAAAAGGATCAGAGCTAAATGGTGAGAACGTTGTGTGATATGGTGTGCGCTCTCCCTCTAGATGATTGTTGTAACGTTACGTATGTTTCTACGCATCTCCATTGTGGTCTTGTACTGTGCTCATCGCTTCGTAGAAAAAAGAAAAACTCTTTTGAAGTCGATCGTATTCTAATCCCTCTCTATTCTGCTGATATCTGAAATATGCTTACAACGATACGATTGGAGTTCAACAAATTCGAAAGCGATTTATTTCACTTTATCAATGATGGTTCGCCATTTTGTTGCTGCGTCCGCCAGCACGAGCCTCGAACAAAATCAATAACTGATTAAATAATAATTCCTGCTATGCGTTACCATTTTTGCGCATTGCCATTGTGAATCATAAATAAGAGCGGTACGTTACTGAAACACTGACTTCAGCCTGGTTTCAATGTGTAGTTTTATGTTAGGGAGAAAATCTTTCCCTATCTTCAAAACCGCCAAAATTCAAAATTCTCCCGTGGGTCCCACATTGCGATATGGCACAATAAAATGTTGATTTTTATCGTCGTCAGATAAGCGGTTAACTTATGATTTCGCATAAGATATACATTAGTTAAACAGTGCACAGTTCATAAGGCCATTTTATGCTTCTTTACAAAAAAAAATAACCCATTATTTTGCGTTTTATATTATATGTCGAATTTGTTCATCTTTCCTTTGGGTCTTTTACGCACGTGTGTTTCTATGTAATACATTCTTAATAACTATTACCTAAGTGGTACTGTTTAAACAGAGGCTGTATAATTTTCACAATTTACCATATATTATATTCGCGTATGGATACGTTCGTGTGCATATATACTGTACTGATTAATCCACAATGAAATTTCTAGTTTTACATGCATCGCTTCGTATACATATCGAGACTATACTATTCGCAAGATCTGATTCGAAATCTTGGTTCGTTGCCTTTATGTAGGCAGCCGTTGTCAACCGCTCAAACCTCAGATATATGAAGGCTTTGAAAAACTTACTATGTGACTCACCGCTGTTTTAGCGGAATGAATAAGAACCGGTATATGCTCAAGTAACGAGCACTTAACCCAAGACTGCAGTTCATAATGCTGCCATGCTTAATTATCAGTGTAACATTATATATGTATAGTTTGAACGACGGCAACGTATAGATGTATGGTTTGAGTCCGTCACACGTGACTGTTATTATCGTGAAACTACCCTATCTTATGGACATTCAGAGCTCTGACTGAGGTCAATAGTTCAGGCCTAGCCAATCACGTATAGTATACGAAAAATTAAAGAAACATAGTTGGTTGAGACGAAAAAGAATGAGTCTAAAAAAACTGTCGGTGCCACGTTTGATTGATGACACGAGTAGAAAGTTTTTCATGTTGCATTTGGCAGAACGCTAAAGCTACTGTTCGATATTAGAATAAAAATCTGTATGTCAGTCAAGTTCAACACTTAGAGGAGGCTAGCTGCTACAAGAAGAAAACTTGTTTGAACTAGATAAAATAAGCAATCAACGATTCGATTTTGCGAAATCGTTAGCGCAAAATGTTAATGAGATACAAAAGCGTTGTTTAACTTTGGGCGTCGATGGCATCGATCATGTCTAGGAGGGTGTCTTCAAGTGGGGTAAACGCCTTGCACTCGATTTCTTCTAGAGCCTTCTCAGGAACTCCGCTCGATGTCCGTCGTCCCTCTAAGGTTAGGTCGATAATCTATATAGATAGGATGCAAAGCATTAACAAACCTGAGTGTCGACAGAATCTTCAGTTTAACTATAGTTTAAGAGCTTGAAGTCGTACTTGGACTCAGTCAAACCCAGCTATAAGTACGGTGTGTCCTGTGTTATACGAGTCAAGCTTTCCACATCTTTAAAGGACAAAAAAGGCAAAAAATGCTCATATGCATACGGATAGCAAGGTACGTAAAAACACTTCAGATCATCAACGAATGAAACCAAACAAATAATAAAATTCTAACAATTATCGTGATCGTGTATTGTAACTGAGTTTCTAGAAATAACTACCTTAAGTGTTTCTTCCTGTTGGCTGGTAGAAGGACTAAGCACTTCTCCTTGGAGGTCTGAGGGCGAGGCCAGATCTCCCAGGAGATTAAGCGCCACACAGTCTTGACCTTTAGATCCTTTCGACAGCGTTGGGTTGACAAGTTGCATCAACAGGCTTAACTCGTTCGATGGGTTACCTTTTTTACCTTTTCCACCACTAGGTATAGCCAGTTCGGGCGGTGGCGATTTGGGCTAAAAAGCAGATTGTAGGTCCATGTAAACATGAGGTAGGGTCTGATTTTGAATATTTATGTAGTTTATTATGCAACAGACCACCGCCTTATAGACTACGCAAAAATATATAAAGAATAACAATAATAAAAGAGCATGGTAACCTACCTGATATGCTGTGGTGTACATGTTGGTGCCGAGGACTGTTCCTCGTCGGCTCCAATAAGGAACTTTGTGGGCACTAAAGTGCGATGCGGTTACAAATGCAGATTCCTTAAGAAGAGCTTCATTCAAGCCAAATTCGCGTATAGTACCGTTCACCTCAAAACCCTCGGGCACGTAGCCAAAGAGCGGCATTGAAAATACCCCTAGAAATTTGATCTTGTGAGAATTTCTTCCGAGTAATCTGGTGAAATTCGTAGGCAACATCAAGGTGTACTTGTAATTACATTTCGGTTATGCAGTAAATCTTGACTATTATATACTAACCAGTTTGTTTCTGGACGCCGGATTTGAGGAACATTGAAATCCGGACATGAAGATCTTGCAAAAATGTCAAAACTTGACAGCGGACAGTTTGAAATTCGGCGAGCGATGTCGAGAAGAAGATCTCCACTAGACTATCCTTTACCAACGCTATCCGTTCAGTTAACTGTAATTTTATATTTATAATAGAACTATATGGACTTAAAAAGCGTGTACGAAAGATTTTGGCCTTTAAATCGTTTGTGGCGTACCCATCGCTATTCAATGATTTTCGATGCGGTAGCTTGAAAGAGACTAGAGGTCACTACTTCAAGTCCTGCTAACAATAGACATTGGGCAACTGTAATAATTAGTACAAATAATTAATACTATTATTATAATTCTTTTTTAATAGAAAGCAGATGTTATGGTAGAGATATTGTTGGCAGAATCGTATCTGCAATCGCATGGTACCACACAGATTTTACTTAGTAGCAAAATCAACTAGCCAGGTTGACACCATGCGCAAATCGTATGAAACTATTCATTTAAGGCCTCATCTTCAGCGATCTGTATAGTGTTGCAGTCGGCTGTTGTTCGTGGAAATGATGCTTTTTATTGCGTTACACGTACCAAACGCCATAATTATATCCGAGTGATAATTCTATGCGAGGTGAGTAACGAGCGAAGTGTCCCAAATCTTTCAGATCTTCACTTGAAAGTATAGAAGACATTTACAAACCTCGAGATTTTCCTTAACGTACGTCTCAACCGTGTCGAGGTGGTTAAGAGTGATGGCGACGCTTTGGCGAGGTGAAGGAACCATTAATAATTGATACTTGAACACCATTGTCATTAGATCGTACAATTTGTCCATGGATTCACGGTTCAGCCGCATTATAGAAGAGTGGACTACGCGCTCAAAGAGACATTTGATGAACTTGGCGGATGATAGGGTCAGCGTCCCCAACTTTAGAAGTTCACCTGGAAGGAACGGCATTCAACGAAAACGAGCGGAAGATTGCTATTTAATTCCGACGTACTCAAGAACAATGAAGACCTCGAGTAAAGACACAAAGCGAACAGTATGAAATCTGTTCGCTTTGTATCTTCACTTTGTATCAGAAAAAATATGAAACGGTATGTGTTTCACATGAGCTACAATAAAATGAAGCATTTGAATACAAAATTTATATTAATATAATATACTTTTGAGGCCTTCCCTCGTCATAGGGCGTTATTAAGAACAATTCTTATATTTATCTATTGCATAAAGTACAATAGGTGAATAGGCTGAGGCCAACTGGCTATCTTTTTCCATCGACAAGCTGCCATTGAAATATCTGATTGCTTTTGATTGCTCATTAGTCTTAAATTGATGGGTATCTTCCGGCTCAATCATCGCTACCTTCGACTATGGGCAAGTTTGTACTCGCAATGAGGTTACGCACACTTCCGTGTGTTCTGTCGAGCGGGCAAACTTCGGGGCTGCGTGTACGGCTCGAACAATCGATGCGCTAGATAGGGTTCATATCACCCTAAAGGACATTAGTTAGACTAATTAAGTTAACACAGGGATGGTTCGGCCTCAATTAGTACCGATACAGTACATAAATAAAGATTTTGTGGAAACTTTTAGAGAGACATATAATTGATTAAACTTGTTCATATGAGTTCCTTATGTGCTGCACTGACATATGATCAAGGGTACCAATTTTACCTGGAAAATGATCATGAGACAACAATAATAAAAAACGAAAAAATGCGTCTAGAAATATATTTTTATTGTAACTATAATTACTAGTCTATAAGCCTATATAAGCCTATATAATGTCTTTTTAGATAAAGATTGATGATTTCTGGGGCTTTTACTACTGACTAAAAATACGAAATCCAACTTCTGGGGATAGCAACAGCTAAACTGGGCATTACCCAGAATAAAGGAAATATATACAATAACTTTCATTGTCGGGGTTCATTCCATCAAAAGGCGGTGAAAAACAACGTCTTATAAAGTTGTTAGTTTAAGCACAATAACCTCGTAAAATCGTAGGTTCATTACACCCCTATCCCTGTTTCTTTAGTACCTTATCTTTGTACCTAAGTGTCCTTGCAAATACTGACGGATCCTGCTTCCTACATGGCACTTTTGTGTACGATTCCACACATTTAATCACACAATCACTTTCACCGTTTTAATAAGCGATTCGGCATATTTAGCCACGAGCAAAAAAACAGTGATATTTTTCGCGCTATCGTCATGAACTTAATAGAAAAGAAACACTCACGTCTGTTGACTGCGAACGTGTATGTAACACGTATTGATGGGCCATCTCAAGCACTTACCCATTGTGCTAGGGCAAAGAAAACAGCCGATAATCTCTTGAAGAACCCTGCCACTTTTCTCCTGAGCAACCTTCTGCGCGCTGAGTCTCTGTTGAAGAATATAGACCATCTCCCCGCCGAGGTTAAGGTACAGCAAGAGTGTAGCCTTGTCGATCCTTTCCATAGGTTCCATCGTTAGTTCTAGTTCTACGGCTGATATCTTGGACTAAATTAATATGCTTTGAATAAGTTGTTCAACCATCTACGTAGTCACGCTCTTCCGTTATTAGAATCTGCGAGTAAAAACGCAGAATAGACAAAACAAAAATCATTTATTGTGCCCCTCGGTGCGCTCTCTGTTAGCTAGGATTTGTGCCATCTGCTATTTCGACGACGAAGTCAGTTCGCCCGAGTAACTTCGTTGAAGCATTCGAAATTTGAACAACACTGATTCCTTGTCTGGTACGACCACTGCTGAAATGAATATTAGCAGATAGGAGAAACTAATGGAAGTTTCCCGTGTCCTTGTGTGCAGAATAGCGCAACCAGAAACCAGAGACAAAGAGCCTGGCTGGCTCCGGCGGGTCGTGAGCCTTACACAACAATAGGCCTTCGTTTCCCCGGTGACCGAGAGGGCCAACATGAGGAAAGGGCAGTGTAGTTAGAGCACTTCCCACGCATTTGACTAAAGAACATTTACTTACAGAGCACTCCTCACCAAAGCGGCGATCCAGAGGGGGTCAAAAGTTATTCGCTACAAGGTAGACGCCGAATAAATGTCTCGGCTAGGTTAGATATCAGGCTGAAGCTGTTCGCCGGAATACCTCTCGGAGGGAAAACCCAGCAGCAGTCAGCTTGTGCCTTTATACGTCTGATATATAAGCGTTCACAGAAGACTAATTTCAATGAACTGCTTATATGTCTCTGGCGGGCGTTCTCGTAGCTAGTTCCAACCATATATAACGTCCGTCGGAGGAGTTCCGGTTTTTGGTGAATGTCTTTTTGGATAGAAAAACAGAAATTTAGCTAACTACGCTAAACAGTAACTCAGCTAGCAACTAGACACAATTGCACTAATGATTCTCCCCGCATGCCGAAGTAATAAAGGGAAAAGTAGACTTTCATTAGCATTTTTCTAACTATAAGAACAATCTAATTAGAAGCTATTTATGTAAAATTAAGATGGAAATGGTCATATGCGATAGCGGTTACGCCGTGGTCCACCACAATCTACAGTGGGGAAATAAAGCGGAGTAACAAATAACAGTGAACACCTTTCCGGGCATGTAAATATATACAGTAGCAAGATATAAACGTCGCCGGGTTATTTTGAAAACGCTTTATTTTATATTACAGCTAAATAATTCACCGCCCATAGATAATTGTGGCTAACGACGTTGAAATTTAGCCGCTTAGAACGAAAATATCAACTTCGTTATAGACCCAGTCGTACAAATTGAACTATCTACATTCACCGGATGCTTCTCAGTCTTAAGTTCCATGTTAATTAAGCGTACTTAAAATGAGAAATCTATAACAAAACAGTACTTCAAAAAAATACATTTTTTTTTTATTGCCAAGCACACATAATAGACTTACTTTCTATTCAGCCTTGATCTGTGTTTATTAGAGATGTCGCCCAGTGGACATGAACGTAACTGAATAAAAATAGCATCGTTACGTTAGATTCCCCCATTAGTAATATCCTCGTTTCGTTTCAAAACGATACCAATATTATTTCATAAAAAGATAAATATCCTCCGTAAGTGTTCTTTTAGATGCCCAATGATTCGTATCTCAGACGTCAGCGGTGCTCCCTCCGACCGTCGCATACACCTGCCATTTTGTGGGAAAGTAATAGTGTGTATACAAAACGGCCAAGTACTTTGACCGGCTTGTAATGGTCTGTCAGCCTGCTCAAGAAAAGGGTAACACATGTTATTTAGTCTTTTCTCTACAATGCGTAATATGTAGTACTATTGTCATCTATCTATAATTTCATGACTCTCAGTCCCCTATGATTGTGTATGTGCTATGATGAAAACCCAGGACGAAGCAGAATCGAGACACGTGAGACTCACCAGCCATTGCTAACAGGCGAATCACCGTGCAGTACGAACAAAATGCCCCTGTGGCGCGCTCTGCTTGCAACTGTCTGCTATGCCTTCTCCTAGCTATCTGCCGTTTGCTGCTGTTGTGACATGCGAATGACATTTGGAGGCCCAACCAGCAGAGCGGTCGGTAGGGCAGTGTACGACGCCATAATGCCCGAATTAAAGTTGCCATGGCAACCGGTCTTCAGGGTTGCCCTTACCCGACCTGCTGACTTTGCGCGTAAACGACTTCTTCTTTTTTACGTTCCCCCGAGCTGTGTCCGCTTGTGACTCTGTCGATACGGAAGGCCTAGATGGAGAAGGATTTTGCAGCAAAAACAAGCGAGGCGGACCGGAGGTTTTAAGGAAGAAGGGCAAACAACAGAGACAGAGTTCTATCGATCAATAGTCTTTCAATAGCCCACCCTCTTTTCATACGAGGGGGAAAGCGATAAAGAGCAGGAGCGAAGTGGGATAGAGAGGATGTCGAAAAGACAAATAAACGCTTTGCTATCGAGGTACAAAGCAAAGCACCTGTAGAGGCGATCCTTCTTATGACAATGACAACAACGAGCGAAAAGCGTGCGTATCCTACCTCTAATACAAATTCTACTACACTATCGACCGCTTAATCATGCTTGGATTTCATATGGTAAAAGCCAGATGTTCAGGTAACTCCATGTATAACTGCATGCCATTTGAGTGGCTACAGATAATTTGAATTTTAAACTAGTTTAGAATTTAACGTACTTTATTAGTATTTATTTAGATATTTAGTTAATATGCAGCGTACTTCCTATAATTACCATTGTATCGTATAGTATCTAGTCTTAAAATGATTAAGCTACGTGTCGATGCAATTCTCAGGTGGTATTCCTATAACCTATTCAATCTCAATGTCGTCAACGGCTTAAAATGCCATTTACGAGAGACGACGATCGGCAATCGGCGCACGCCAAGGTACATGTTTCGCCTCAACGACTACTCTTTCGGTCGTCAACGGCCACCCATCAAAAAAAGACAACATCTTACGATAGCATCGATAACGCTGACAATACAATAGTACTAGAAAGGACGTATTCGGTGTCGACCACAAGAAGGAACACACACAGCTTCGGAGGCTCTACTGAAGCTATTATGCTACTTAAGCAAAGTTCTGCCCTTACTAGAATACTAACAAGTGGCTTTAGTCTCTGTAGTGACCCGCAGTAACAGCCATTGCCCGTATCCGAAACGGTGCATAAACACGCGCTATGTTAAACTAGTGTCTGTCGGATGGCTGGTTTGATCTTCCTTAGCCTTCATATATCTCTGTTTCGACATCTATGTTTTTCCTACCTCCTACGGCCTCCGGGCCTGCCTCGTCCTAACGCATTTAATGCTCTTGTGTATGCTTCACTGCCTCAGTACTTCGCGAAGGCGCGTTGTCGCCTGCGCTGTCAAAGTGGATCAGAGAGCAGACGAAAGGCTCATCTGAAAATTGGATTTCCTCGAAAAGCCAACACTTCGCCGACGCTTTTGGCGACTGGCGGCTCGCTTACGGGTGGGTGTCTGTTGTCCATCGGTGCGTCGTAGTTTATCGGCGCTTCTCGGCCTGTTCCTTTATCGCTTTCTAACGGGTAGACATTGTGGTCTACGTACTTTGTATCAGAACCAGCCCTTTCTTATTTGTGTGAGCTGACGCTGTCAAGGTAAACGCACCACCCCCGCACAATAGCCCCCTACCGCATTAGTCAATGCTTTTTTCGTCGGCAGCGTGGCGGCCCGCTGCTGTTCGCTTCCGAATAGCCTATGCGTCATGCAATCAGGGCACAAGGCGATGAGGAACGGAATCGACGCTACTGCTGCTACGAGCTGACAGATAATCCCAAATCAGAGTTTCTTTCAGATATGTAGTGGGTGATCAGCGGGTTGAGCTAATCGGCTTCAGAGCTTTCGAATTATGTTCTGCATTGTGTCATGAATAAATAGCCCTCGAGCATGTGTTAGTTGTTGCGAATCTACGTTTCATTGGTCGTAAATGAACGTTTCCCAAACGTATTACGACTCGAGGTTTTACTAACGAAGGCGGCCGGGAAATACATCTGTTTTTATACAGCTCTGCTAGTATATGCCATAGAATTTCGTAGATAAGGCTTTCCTTGCATATGTTTGGATAAATTCCAATGTGAAGATGAAACTTCCGATTGACTCCACTAATTACGAGGTGTTAGTATTCATTTTAGGTGAGTGAAGATTAATATTCCGTACAAGAGAGAGTACATTTTTTTACAGTTGTCTGAAGCGTTTAAAAACATTATATATACATTCTGTTCTCTTCATTTTTGCTCCGGCCGCCGTATAACGCTATATGCATTATCCAATTTAAGCGAAATTGTAAACTGGTAAATGGGGTTCACAGACGGTGGTGTTCCATACCAGTATCCATAGGCGCACTGAGTAAAAGTAAGCAGGGAAAATACTTTAATTAGATGCATAGTGAGGCCTTCTGTAATCTTGTAGAAAAATGAAGAAACAGTCTCTCCAAGCTATGATACGTTTGGCTTATTCGGTTGAATTCCATCCTAGTAGTTATTTTAGTAACCAAATGACTATGCCCGGCGATTCTATTTATTGAAGCCTTGAGCTGATCAGACGATCGAGTTTCGCTAGAGTGAACATTGTTTACCATTACAGATTAAACGCAACGTAAGTGAAAGGGTCATGGAGTACTCTTTCTAATCTAGGCCATTTTTTCGCTTACACATATCACAAAAATATTATGACCAGTGCGGTCAAACGCGTGCTGCTTAGTCGAGGCCTGCAAAGCAATATAAAGTAAAGTATGTGTTCAGGTTTTAATTCCATTGCCGTTTTATGTGATCGTCTTAAGGTCGCCACTGGTTTATTAACAAATACGTGGGCTGTGTGATTTTCGAGATAAAGAATAGGTTAACATTGAACGAAACAATCTTTTGTCCAACAGCCATCTGCACTTTCAATCTATCCAACGACCTTATTACATAATGCTCTGCACTAATCTGTTTTAACGGAGTTCACAAGAACGCAACGGACTGGGGTAATTCAGCCGGTCGACTAGCCCAGCGGATCAGCACGATGGGTCAAGTTTTGCTCACTCTTTTCAGCTTACGGCGTCACAGTTCGACCCATTTCGCCAGATACGCGCATCGTTTATCGCTTTCCTTCGTTCTAGTTCACAACCTGTATGGTTACTTTGAGGGCACACGACCGGACTGATCGGCATCGGTAGAATTTTTCTCGGGTTTCAAACTTCGCGTCACGTGACGGATGGTGAACGCGTGCGGTAGGTTTAAAGCGAAACATTGTGTCTTGTGTCTAAAAGTTTCGTACAATATTAAATCGCGTTATTAAGTTTGTCTTCACTCCTTTGTTTCACATAGCTTACAGGATTATAGGCGATATTCAGCTGTTGAGCTTGAATAACAAAGCA